TAGAAGAAGACTTGCCATATTTGTGAACATTTCTTTCTTTCCTTTTCAGAGTAAGTTATTTGGTATAAAAGGAACAGGCAAAGATGGCACTCTCAGATCAAGCTCTGCCCCTTTGTCTTGGACAGATTTGCAAAGCTCTTTAGAGCAGGAACGCAGCAAAAATTATCGACTGCAGGAGCAAGTGAGCAGACTTGAGAATGATAACAGTCAGCTGTCTAATGAATGTAAGTTTTGTGCAGTGTTTCTTGTTTTGTTGTTTGTCTGCCATAGGTGGTGATAATCAGTTCTTTCACCCGCAAATGGTAGACTGGGGTTTGTGGCTGCATGGATGGCTGATCAGCCAGTCTCAGTACAGAGTGTTCTCTGATAATGTGGGTTGAGAAATAGGTCTGCATCCTCTGTGTGCCCGTGCGCATGTGTATGTGTGTGGGAATTCATTCAGTTCATGGTATTTTCTAGTTTGATTTAGTTGAATAGTTGCTGCAGTTCTGGTCCATGTGTGGGATATCCACCTGCAGCTATCCATTTTAATGTTTTCTATATACTGTAAAGAGGAGTAGCTGGTCGAACTGTTAAAACGCTGGTAGACCCGGGTCCGAATCCTCCGTAAGGCTGGGGTTTTTTTTTTCCTGCTAGGGGAAAAAATAAAATCCTTACCTGCACAGTCGTGGCGACAGCACTAGCCATGCGGCCGTAAATCCCCACGCTCAAAGACCTCCCGCCCACACCGCAAAAGTGGTATAATTAGGGCAGTAATTGGCAGTAAAAGTTGACCTGGTGTACAAGTCGACCTCAAGAATTTTTGCTGAAAATTTGAAGAACGGCCTTTACCTACCTAGCGCATCACCATATAAGTTGAACTCTAGTGTTCGAAAGATTTTTTAAAACCTGAAAACTACTTACATGTCATAGTGTATGGAATCTAATTGTGTTGGAACAACTTTATTGGTGGCACAATAATCTTCGTTTACGCATTTTGGTAATCTTGCCTGTACAGCTAGCTACATAACAGGACATTCCTGGGATAACACACTCATCTGCAGTGATGCATGTTTAATAATGTTGTATGTATACCTAGCTTTTGTTGTTTATCCTAAAGCTGCAGAGTTGTCTAATATTAGAAGCCCAGTGTTTTTTTTGGGGGTGTGTTTTGTAAAGTGAAACTGCAGATTCTCTGTAGCAATTCCAGGGACTTACAAGAGTGAGTTAGAGATGAAAGGGTTCAGCTGTAAACTGACAGAATACCATAATGAGCAGTTCTGTAAAGATTACCAACCACGTAAACGATGGACAGAAGAAATAACACTTTGGAGACTTTTATAAAAAAGAACCTCACAGACGGGCACACTCTCACTGTTGATACTTCACTGCAAGGTCTAAGATAAGATGTGGTGGAGAAGACTGTATTAACGTTTCCCTGGTGTTTTTGAGAAGGGGTGGGGGAGAAAGAGATAGAGAGAGGGGAGAGATGGCTTTTTCCTCCTTCTCTAGTCCTGTTCTCCCATGCAGAAGCAGGTTTTTAAGAAGCACTGGGTGCGAGCCTTGGTAAGTGGGCTATAAGATGCTTGTATTTACAGCCTCACATATTCTATCTGTCCATCACTTGCATGGTCGACCTCTAGTTCTGCTTCCAGTACGACAGTGCTTTCTGTGGTATACTATCTGATGGTAGTCTTGGCACATGTCCAAACCATTTGATTTGTTTTCTCTTGATACATAGCTTTTCAAGGTAAAGGAATTTACATTGGTCATATATTGTCAACCAGGGGTAGAAGTATTATCCAGTCATGAATGTTTGTTATAGAGATTTATATTTAACAGGTGGAATTGTGCACAAAATCAAGCAAGGTACATTTTCACCAATTCTCAGCTTATTATGTTTATTTTGTATGTGTTTAGACATTGTTTTCTTTGTCGTTTATTTTTCACAGCTGTTGCAGTTTCCAGTTTTCATACACATTTTCCTTTTGTAAAATATTTTTTCATTGCTCATTTAGTGTTTTAGTTAGTTCTTATCTAAGTTGTATTTCGGGACGAGAGCCAGTTTGTTTCTATATGTCTACATTGTATTTCACAATGAGAGCCAGTTTGTATCTGTATGCCTGCATTGTATTTCAGAATGACAGTCAGTTTGTGTCAGTATGTCTGCATTGTATTTAAGAATGAGAGCCAGTTTGTGTCTGCATTGTATTTCAGAATGAGTGCCAGTTTGTATCTGAATGTCTGCATTGTATTTCAGAATGAGAGCCAATTTGTGTCTGCATTGTATTTCTGAATGAGAGCCAGTTTTGTGTCTGCACGTCTGCACTGTATTTCAGAATGAGAGCCAATTTGTGTCTGCATTGTATTTCTGAATGAGAGCCAGTTTTGTGTCTGCACGTCTGCACTGTATTTCATGATGAGAGCCAATTTGTGTCTGCATTGTATTTCTGAATGAGAGCTAGTTTTGTGTCTGCAGGTCTGCACGTCTGCACTGTATTTCAGAATTAGATCTAATTTGTGTCTGCATTGTATTTCTGAATGAGAGCTAGTTTTGTGTCTGCAGGTCTGCACGTCTGCACTGTTTTTCAGAATTAGATCTAATTTGTGTCTGCATTGTATTTCTGAATGAGAGCTAGTTTTGTGTCTGCAGGTCTGCACGTCTGCACTGTATTTCAGAATTAGATCTAATTTGTGTCTGCATTGTATTTCTGAATGAGAGCTAGTTTTGTGTCTGCCAGTCTGCCAGAAGGAGAGCCAGTTTGTGTTTGCACATCTGCACTGCTTTTCAGAACAAGAGCCAGGTTGTTTCTGTATGCCTGCATTGTATTTCAGGATGAGAGCCAGTTTGTATCTTCTTCTGAGCTCACCCTTAATAGGGAGATTGGCACATTATGTTGTGAGTTACAGCTAAGCTGTGATGTGATATCTTAGCTTTTTGGCCCAAGATATCTGATTTGAGTGAACTCCTAATGAGCCATTTTTAAGATATGGGAGTGGGTCTGCTTTTAAACACCCCCCCCTCCCTCCCTCTCTCTCTCTTTCTCTCTCTCTCTCTCTCTCTCTCTCTCTCTCTCTCTCTCTCTCTCGATCTCTCGATCTATCTCGATCTTGATCTCGATAGGGCCCCCGGAGGCCATGCTTCAGTATGAGAGCCAGTTCTTCTCTATATATCTGCATTGTATTTCAGGATCAGAGTCAGTTCCTGTGTGCATTGTATTTCAGGATCAGAGTCAGTTCTTGTGTGCATTGTATTTTAGTATCAAAGTCAGTTTTTGTGTGCATTGTATTTCAGGATCAAAGTCAGTTCCTGTCTGTATTTTATTTAAAATTGAGAGCCAGTTCTTCTCTATATGTCTGCATTGTATTTCAGGATCAGAGTCAGTTCTTGTGTGCATTGTATTTCAGGATCAGAGTCAGTTCTTGTGTGCATTGTATTGCAGTATCAAAGTCAGTTTTTGTGTGCATTGTATTTCAGGATCAAAGTCAGTTCCTGTCTGTATTTTATTTTAAAATGAGAGCCAGTTTTTATCTGTATGTTGCATTGTATTTCACTTCGAGAGCTCTTATCTGTATGTCGGTATTGTATTTCAAGATGAGAGCCGGTTCTAATTTGTATGTCTACATTGTTTTTTACTGTATGTTTGCATTGTATATATTTATCTCTGAAAATACAGCAGTGTTTCAGCAGATACTGCAGTTGGCTTGTGAAGTCTTATGCTCTCACATATTCACATATTCTCGGCCACAAAATATGAAGTGTGCTAGCCAGTTTCCTTCCTTTTATTTACCTTTCATGTTGAGACAGGCCCCTGAACATTCCTGAAATTACAGGTGTCCATTTATTAAAGGCTCCTGTTGCCAAACTGGTGAAAAACAAACCTGCTACTTTTCATTATTCTTCTCCTGTGTTTGCAGATCGATTAGCACGCTCTGTTATGGTTTACAGCTTGGCTGCAGTATCTGTATCTTCTGGCCTATCACATCCAGTTCCTGACGACCCCAATTACCATATTTTTCCAAGGATAATACATTATTTTACAAATTATTTAAGTTTAAATTTGGGTGTTATCTTATACACAGAATAACAGTATTTATTTTTTTTTATTTAGGGCTTTAAAAAAATGTATGTGTTTCTTATCTATGGGGGGCGGGGCATCTTATACACAGAAACATATAATAATCACTCTTTACATGTTTTAAAAGTGCTGTGCGTTTGTTCTTTTCTCTCTCACAAATGGGGCCCATATATATACACACAGCGACTTTTGGCGATTGAACTGGGACAATTGTCTCTACAAATAAGCATACTAGCTACTTTGCCACACTGACTGTTGTTTATATTGTATCAAAAAAGAGAAATTGATAACATTACAGATATTACACATCCATCATGAAATCAAATCTCCCAATACCAGCCATGGGGCCCTAGACTGTTCCTCTGCAAAGCAGTTTAACAGCAGAAGTGGAAGTTGCATACCTGTGTATGTGGAGAAGCTTTCTCTGTCTTTGTATTCAAAAGTCTGGATCCTCTTTTTGAAGTCTTTTGTAGCTGTCAGCTTTCACAACCATTTATATATACATTACTTAAGTTGAAAACCTGCGGGGAGCATAGCATAGTGGAAATTGTGTAGAGGGTAATTTACAGAAAAACAAAGAAACTATAAATTGTTAGACGAACTTTGTTGGTGGAAATTATACTGATTAATTTTGTGAGAGATGCATTGTGGCTTACAGCTAGGCTGCGATAATTGCGGCTTTCGGCCCAACACATTAAGTTTTAGTAAACACCTAATTAGTCACCACTTACAACATGGTTGTTAGGAGGCAGCAAGGCCCCAGTGGGACACTAGAACCCACACGGGTAGAATGTATATCAGTAAATAAAAATTGTATTTGTGTGTGTGTGTGTGTGTGTGTGAGAGAAAGAAAGAGAGAGACAAAGAGAGAGACAAAGGGAAGAAAAACAGATACTTTCATAGACTTGGAGAAAATGTAATTAAATTTATCATCGTTGCCAGTGCTGAAGTTAAAACAGACCAGTCAAGAGGACAGTTCTGCTGGAAGAATCGACCGGGTCAACCTCACACTCAAAGTGACCAATCCCGTCACCAAGGCAAGCACACCCAGCCGACACAGAAAGGACATGACTGCCGCCTCATCTATGTCATCTCTAGCTTCCTCCTCCTCCTCCAGCGGTTCCTCACATTCAGACTCGGCTTCCTCTGGAGCTCGACACAACTACTACAGAGACAACTTGTCCGTAGGGAGGGCATCCTGGAGGTCTGAGGCAAGCCTGACACCTCAGCGCATGCACCATAACATTCCTCATCGGTAAGTCAAGTACTTGTTATCTCGTGTACTTCAATAGCCTAACTGTGTAGGTAACTGTCTTTAAATCATACATCACAGTCTTTCCTTAACATGAAAGTAAATTTATCTTACATCATTCATTCTTTTGTCCAAAGATGCCATTCATTACGCATTGCCATCCTTTACAAATCCATGTGAAGGCTATATTTTGACAATATGGCTTTAGCCAGTCCTTGCTATTCCTACTTAATGGCATTGGTAGTGTTTGCACCTGCACAGTGTTTAGAAGGACCAGGCATAATTATATTTACTAAAAAATAGTATTTAGTCATTTGCTTATAGCTGTAAAAAATGCACTGCAACGGGGTCTTGGTACGAGAAATTGTATTAATTTTTGTCTAAGCCATATGGCAGATAAATCATTTAATTCTCAGCTTCATTCGATGTTAATGGTTCTTCTTCATATTTATAAATTTTTTTGTTCTTGGTTTTAATTGTTTCTCAAGTTTTAATGTAGATAAATATAATTTACAGATTTAAAAAAAAAAATTGATAGTACCTGTGTAAAATAGTTGTTTTAAGAATTATTTTCAGGAATGTCTAGATTCATAACAATTCTTACCCCCACCCCCGCTGAATTGTTTAGGCTTATATATGATAATATCTAACATAATTACATAAAATTAACCCTCAACTCATACGCTGTAATCCCCTTGTGGATGCCGGGGCCTCAATGTGGAGAAAACAAGAATAGACCCACTGCCTCCCCGAGAAGCATGTTGTAAGAGTCAACAAATTGGAGGCTTCCCTCTAAGTCAGAGTATATCTGCTCGAGCGGCAAGGAACAACCAACTGCACACAAATAAGCCAGTAAAATGGATGTACACACAAAACTCAGGCCCTGGCAGGAAGTTAAAGTCCAAATGGACAAAGCCGGTAAACAAAGAAGAATAGAGATACACTGTATTATTCCATCTCTGACTGCAACTCTCTCTCATGTTTCCTCTCTCTTTCTTCCTTTTCTCTCATCATGTCCTATAATTTCTCCCCTTGTGTCCTGTTCTTTCTCTGCTCATGTCCTACTTTTCTCCCTCCATGACCTGTCATCTGCTCATCACCTTTTCTTTCTCTCCTCATCCTTTTCTTTCCCTTCTCATTCTCTTTATGTTCTCATCCCTTAACTCTCATCCTTATCTTTCTCTCCTCATGTCTCTCTGTTTTTCTCCTCATGCCTGTCTATTTCTCACATCCTTATCTTCCTCTCCTTGTGTTTCTCTCTTTCTCTTCTTTTTTTCTTTTCTTTTGTCTCTTTTTCTCTCATCCTTTTCTTTCTCTCCTCTTGTCCTCTATATCCTATTTTTCTCTCTTTGTCATTCTCTTTCTCTCCTTTTACTTCTCATTTCTTCTATTTCTCTTTACAGTCCTCATCTGTCATCTCTAATACTTCTGTCTTTCCATCGCCTGTTTTGCTTTTTCCTCTTTCTTTATTCTTTCTCCTTGTTCTTTATTCTTTCTTCTCCCACCCATTTCTTCTTTGCTTTCTGTCATTGTCCATCCTCTTCTCTTTTAACTGTCTCTTTTATATGTCCATTTATCATAACCTGTTTGTCTGTTCCTTCTTTCTCACTACTCCATTTTCTGACCTGTCCAACCTCTAAACTCCAGACCATTGCTTGCTGTTACTCGATGAAATAGGATGCATTGATCATGTTTAAAAAGTTCACACATTGTACACTTGCAGATTCGCAACAGGCTTGAACACACGGGCAACAAAATGTGGCTTGTGTCTGGGCACTGTTCACTTTGTGAGGCAGGCATCCAAGTGTCAGGGTAATGTACTGTCTCTGATTTTAATTGCATTTTCTTCTTCACTGTCTCTTTTTGTTTATATGTCATGTTTCTTATAAATAATGGTCAGTACTGATGCAATAAATTAATATTAATAAGTTGAAATAGATAAAATCTTCTTCTTTACGTTCACTGGCTGTAAACTCTGGCAAAATGTTCTGGTTGTTTATCCACTTCTGGACTTTGGTCTTGTTCCAGAACTTGAGTTTTGCATGCAGATCTTTTTTACAGGTCTGGCTTATTTGTATGCAGACTGTTGGTTCCTCGCCTCTCAGACAGATGCACACCAACTTCAAAAGAAACATCCCTGATTAGTAGACTCTTCTGCTTGGTAGGGGTGCAGCAGGTCTATTCTTTGTTGTTTTACTCCCCCCCTCCCCCACCCCAAATGATGTGGCCCAGGAACTGACATGGGGAAAATAGGTTAAATAACAAGCCTGTGTCAAAATACAAGAACCAAAAGTGCTGTATGTTTACACATATTCATCATTCATTCATTGGCACCTCTCTGTCTTTCCAGACGATAGTGTTATATTGCGATATGAGGAGGCATGAGACTCACAGCCAATGGCGATGGTGAGTGTGACTAGCAAGACCCGCCTGTGTGTTTACACATAATTGTGTAAATAATAGTAAAGGTGAAAGCTGTGTAAAATACAGTAAATAACATATTTGTTGTGGATACAGTATATTGAAAGAGATGTTTTAAAATAACAAACCTGAAAAGAAAATTAATGACAATGGAAATGAGATGTCTAAGAAGGGCTGCAGGAGTGACCGGAGGAGATAAAAATCATGAATAAGGTCATAAGAGGAAAAAGTGGCACAGAACCAATTCTAAATTACATACAAAGACAGCAGATCAAATGGTTTGGCCACTTTGAGATAACACCTTGTTTCGCCATACCATACAGGACAAAAAGAGGAGATGGTCATAAGGAAGACCAAGAATAACATGAATAGATAACATCAGAGGTCATAAGGAAGACCAAGAATAACATGAATAGATAACATCAGAGGTCATAAGTTAGACCAAGAATGACATGAACAGATAACATCAGAGGTCATAAGGAAGACCAAGAATAACATGAATAGATAACATCAGAGGTCATAAGGAAGACCAAGAATAACATGAATAGATAACATCAGAGGTCATAAGGAAGACCAAGAATAACATGAATAGATAACATCAGAGGTCATAAGGAAGACCAAGAATAACATGAATAGATAACATCAGAGGTCATAAGGAAGACCAAGAATAACATGAATAGATAACATCAGAGGTCATAAGTTAGACTAAGGAATGACATAGAGAGGTCATAAGGAAGACCAAGAATAACATGAATAGATAACATCAGAGGTCATAAGGAAGACCAATAACATGAATAGATAACATCAGAGGTCATAAGGAAGACCAAGAATGACATGAACAGATAACATCAGAGGTCATAAGGAAGACCAAGAATAACATGAACAGATAACATCAGAGGTCATAAGGAAGACCAAGAATAACATGAACAGATAACATCAGAGGTCATAAGGAAGACCAAGAATAACATGAATAGATAACATCAGAGGTCATAAGATTAGACAATCATGAGATAACATCTCATAAGGAGACCAAGAATAACATGAATAGATAACATCAGAGGTCATAAGGAAGACCAAGAATAACTTGAATAGACAACATTAGAGAAACTCTTCAATAGCATAATCTGTCTAGGGTTGAAGCGGTCTGATGGACAATAATCAGGACCTTATCTCTCTCTCTCTCTCTCTCTCTCTCTCTCTCTCTCTCTCTCTCTCTCTCTCTCTCTCTCTCTCCTCTCTCTCTCTCTCTCTCTCTCTCTCTCTCTCTCTCTCTCTCTCTCTCTCTCTCTCTCTCTCTCTCTCTCTCTCTCTCTCTCTCTCTCAACACCCAAAGCATTAAAAGAGGATGTGAAGAAGTAAATGTTTTTGAATACAGTAAATGACGTTTATGTGTAGATTTACTTTACTGATGTTATGTTGATAGTGATGTTTTGTTGATAGTAATGTTTTGTTGATAGTGATGTTTTGTTGATAGTAATGTTTTGTTGATAGTGATGCTTTGTTGATAGTGATGTTATGTTTATATTGATGTTTTGAAATAGAATAAAAGATAGTGTATAAATATTTAGTTAATTACACAAGAAAAAATTGACAGGTTAAAAAACAAACAACGGCTGATAATTTATAACTAATTAATTTACGTATGTTTCTCAGAATGCAGCTTGGTTGTACACCCCAAGTGTGCATCATCAGTCCCCGCCACATGTGGACTTCCCACAGAATATGTCCGCCATTTTGCCTTAATGATGAGCCGCATCTACAGAGACGGCCGGGAGAGGGAGTCTGAAATTGACAGTTCTGCTGTCAAAATGGAGGGCTGGTTGAAAGTTCCCAGGTAAGTGAAATGTTAACACTAGTCAGTTTTATACACTGTCTGAAAGTTAAATAATGAGTGATTTTTATTATGGGCAAAGATAAAAACATAATTGAAGCAAACCACATCATCCAACCATATCATTTATGATATGGTGAAATTGCAATGTAAAATTAGTTGCATAGAAATGATTTTTTCCTTCTCTTGCGTTCGCCTTAGAAAGTTGGTTTTTCCTTCTCTTGCGTTCCCCTTAAAAAGATGGTTTGTACTGTGTGTTGTGGTTTACAGCTAGACTGTGAAATCTGCACCTTTTAGCCCAACACATCCTATTTTACTTTAAGTTTGTCTCCTTTTACAGCATGCTTGTTAAGGAGATGGCACATAGATTTTTATGTATGTCTGTGCTTTGTTAAGGGACAGAGGGTGTGTTCTTTTCTTTCCCCTAAAAATGTGTGTCCAGGAACAGAAAGAGGGAGAGATTCTTCCTTTTTCCCTACCCAAATTTTTTTTGGGTGTCAAGTATTGTTGTTTGAGGTTAACCTAATAAAAGATACATGAATGAAATGTTGTTCATTCATCACGGGTGATGAAGACCACTTTACATCCAAAATAGCAATGATTATGAGTACAAAGGTGACTGATTAGTCTAAAAGTTAGCCTGGAAAGTTCTTGAGCAGCGCGGACAACAGATAGAAGCTGCAGTAAGTGTGGGATTAGTGATACGGTTCTTTCTAGTCTGCCTATTCAACCTCCGCTGCCTGGCTGGCTGATGCACCATGCCTGAGGGATGTACATCATCCAGAACAGTCCTGTGTAGCAACCTCCCACATCACTGTGTTGATGCCAAAAGAATTGAAAGCAGTTTTAAGTGTGTACTTTTAGCACTTTTTCTGTCCTCCCTGGGACCTCTTCCCTTGCTGGAGCTTGCCATAAAATACTTTTCTTTGGGAGGTGATAGTCTGCCATGCGGGCTAGGTGACCAGCCTAACGCAGCTGATTATGAATGAAATAATTTAGGAGAGAGAGAGAGACATATTGTTATGTCTGTCTGGTACATAATTCTTAACCCTTTGAAAATACAATTCACTTGTTATTCATTTGTGTCACTGTTGCTATATATATATTATATGTATTTTTTGTTCTTGGTTTTTCATATTCTTTGTGAGAAATCTCTTCCGAACTAACATGTGCTACTGTTGGCCAGGCAAGGGAAGTCAGGCTGGGAGAACCGCTACTGCGTGTTAGAGGGAACCTGGCTGTCCTTGTACTTGAGCGATGCTGATGCTAACCCAGTGGACAGCTTTGACCTCAACCCCATGGATGCGGACGTCAGTGTACACAGCGCTGTCACATCGGCAGAACTGACCAACACAGCATCTTCTGACCTCCATCACATCCTTCGCCTAGACCAGGATCCCATGACGACTTGCTGGCCTGGACGGTACATCTTTTGATTGCATTCTGCCTGGTTTCTTTTCCTTACCTGTGTACCCTTAATTGTCATTTGCATAATTGTGTATTTTTACTTTCCCTTGTACATTCGTGAGTAAAGTAAAGTAAAGGTCCCTTTTCCACGCCTTTGGGAATATAGGGCTAGACCTGTATTTTTATTGACAAATCAGCATTGTGTGGGTGATGTGGTCAGCCTCACGCCGGCCGTCTTTACCTCCCACTCAGGGCTGGGTCGACCTGGAAGTCAAGGTCATTTTAAAAAAAAGTTTGCCTCAGTCAGGACGTGAACCCACGACCTTCCGATCAGCAGTCGGGCGTCTAGCCACCAACGCCACTGCGACTTCCCATGAGTATAGGGCAGAGCTATTTGTACTCAGGGGCCAAATTTATAAAAATGGGAATCGTCACGAGCCCGGTCCCTATCAGTACAAAGAAATCACCAATACAACACACTTGACAGTAATCTCAGGGTCACTTTTTAGGTCTGTATGGTCCAGAGTCATCCTTCGGGCCGCCACTTGAATAGCCCCAGGGTTGGGGCTTCGTCGTCCCCTTTGCACCTGGCACTTTTAGCTATTAGAGGGCTGCTACTGGTGTCCCTAAGGAAAACAAAGAATAGTAACACGCCTGTAGTAAGAGATAGGGTGACCATAATATCTTGAGCTGAAAAATGAGACATCCCAAATGTCTTTTTTAATTCCCCCCCACAAACCAGTATCACCAAGAAATACACTAAACAATACGCTCTTAAAACTGCAACGAAAATACATGCCACAATGAAAATTCTGTCAATACATTTTCAGGCATTAAAAGTATCTGAAAACCATGAGTTCTTTTAAGATATACATATATAACTTAAAGCGTATGTTCTGTTTTCAAGGGAATTCCTAGATTGTTATCAAACAGGACAAATGGCATGTGTGTGTGTGTGTGTGTGTGTGTGTGTGTGTGTGGGGGGGGGGGGTATAAATGGAACGGCCAGGGCACACTGAAAAAAAAAAAAAAAACATCACTGTTCCATGTAAAATGGGACGTCGTCACTGTCAGACACCTTTTATAGGTGTGACACAAGTACAATTGTTATTTGTGCCAGGTGTACCCACACTTCCATGAACATGTAAACGCTGATGACCTTGTTCCGGTTCTTAAATAATGTTTTTTCAAGAAACTCTTGATAATTGCAAAGTTAGTATGTTTATTTAAGAACTCATGATAATTGCAAAGTTAGTATGGTTTCCACACAACGTTATCGACTACTGAGTAGCCACAGATTTTATTCTTATGGTTCACAAGCACACTAATCTCAGGTAGTCACTGGCTAAATACATCAACAGTACGCTGGTATAGCTGATCACAAACTCATCCTCGCAATATGAACAAAGTCATGAGAGGCTAGCTGATGCCTCTATAGCAACAATTCTGTATCCTCCTAACTACTACACTTAACTTTATAATCCGGCTATACAACAGAAACACTTGTCACCAGTATGAATAACCACTACTGTTCTGTTCACAGTTTTAAATCCAGTCCATTCCAAGCGAAAAACAATTCCCACCTTTTAAAAGGGCCCCAAACAAACACATCCCGTTCACTGGATTGTCCAACTACCCACTGCCGTGTGTCACTCTACCTGTTTGTCCAGTCCCCCTATAACCTCCCCACTCAGTTACCTGTTTCGCCGTGCGGGTCTACACACAACCCGTCTGACCAGTAATTGACCTGTCTGCTGTTATGAGTCAGTCTAGTCGTTGTTTGTCTTTCTCTCACAGTGTGTGGTAAAGTTGACTCATGACAGTCATTTTAATAATTAATGATGATTAAGGATAGATAACAAGAAACTTGCTACTTCATGCTTTAGAAAACTTAATATGAGATGATTAAGGATAGATAACACGAAACTTGCTACTTCATCCTTTAGAAAACTTAATAAGAGATGATTAAGGATAGATAACACGAAACTTGCTACTTCATCCTTTAGAAAACTAGCTACAAAATCCAGCCAATGACTAAGGACCCTTTTCATAACTGGCACATCGGGGACATAGTGCTATCTTAAAAAAAATTTTATTTTTTATAGACCAATTGAAACTCTAAGGGTACTGGGGTCAACATCATGTCCACTGACGTTTACTTGCCAGGACATTACCTGATACCCATTTTAATCTTGGTCTACCTAGGGATTCAAGGTTTTGAGGGAGGAAAATCCACAGTCTCTCTCTCTCTCTCTCTCTCTCTCTCTCTCTCTCTCTCTCTCTCTCTCTCTCTCTCTCTCTCTCTCTCTCTCTCTCTCTCTCTCTCTCTCTCTCTCTCTCTCTCTCTCTCTTCTCTCTCCTCTCTCTCTCTCTCTCTCTCTCTCTCTCTCCTCTCTCTCTCTCTCTTCCCTCCCCCTCTCTCTCTCTCCCCTCCCCCCTCTCTCTCTCTCCCCTCCCTCCCTTCCTCTCTCTCTCCCCCTCCCTCCCTCCCTCTCTCTCTCCCCTCCCCCCCCTCTCTCTCTCTCCCCCCCCTCCCTCTCCTCTCTCTCTCCCCTCCCTCTCTCTCTCCCTCCCTCCCTCCCTCTCTCTCTCTCTCCCTCTCTCCCTCTCCCCCTCCCTCCCCCCATCTCTTTTTTTTTGGGGGGTGTGGCTTATGTAATATAATTCGTTGAGTGAAAGAGCACACTCTCTTTAATCATATCTCTGTACTTATTTAGCTGTCTGTCTGTGTATATATTTATCTGTCTACAAATTTAGGGAGTGTGATTTGCGCACGCACACTGACACAGTTATGAAAAAATATTTTATCAGTCTTTATCAATGAATAAAACACGAAGAATCCTAAATACTAGTTCCAACATGGGGAAATCAAGTGAAATAGTTTGTGTATTGAGAATTTATCTCCTGTCTAAATATATGCATTACTCAGGCTATTATATGCAACATTGAATTAGTTTAGTGTGATTCTGTCTGTGTGTACATAAAGTGTTATTTAAAACATTAATTCCCAGCTACCTCTACTTGATGGCCACCAACTTCCAGGAAAAGCAGAGATGGGTGGCTTCCCTGGAGGCCGTAGTCAAGAGTGTCCAGTGCAAGAATCACCTCTATCATAATGTAAGGTGGTGACTTTGATAGATAGATCACTTAGTATCATGTCGTTATCATCATCCACCATCATTATCATCATCACCGCCAGCACGAAGAACCAGCTCTATCTGTATGTAAGATGGTTACTTCAGATAGATCACCTTATGTCATGGCATTATCATTATTATGACCACCACCAACAAAAACCAGCTCTGCCAGTTTGTAAGATGGTTACTTCAGGGAGATCTGTTTGTATCATGTCATCTTCATCATGATTGTCATCATCATCAAATGCCTTGCCAACTGATGCGAGTAATCCTGCTTCTCTAACTCAGGTGTTTTTAACACTCTCAATTCACTTGTTCATGTCATTTAATTATTGATTTTCTAGAATCTCCTCAAAATGTTTCTTTCCCCACTATTTTGATTGGTTTGTCATGTGTTCAAATATTCAGCAATTTTTATTTTTTAAGTTCTATTTTTATTATTGACTTTTTTTAAAAATGTTTGTTACACGATGATGTGTTTTTTCTTCTATAAACTTTTTTCCCCTGGTGACCTAGAAAGAAAGAAAAAATTGCCAAGATCTCGTATTTCTTAAAAATTTTTCATGTGTGTTAGAGGTTTAATACACCACTGTCTGCTTGATGGGTCCATCACGTGGTAGGGCAAGAAAAAGCGGACCTGGTTGGTGCCCATCTCCATACAGGCGAGCTATTGCTCAGTTAGCCTGAAACCTCATGGCTTTAGTTTTCCAGTGTGAACCATGAGGAAGTTTGGTACTCTGGGTGCACTACACGTTATTGGCAGGCTTACTAAATTTCACTTTTCATCTCTATGAAGAGGATTGAGGTTTGAACAACAGACCAACACCATGGCACACGAGTAGTAACCCATAAGTGCTCCAATCTTCTTCTAACTCAAGTCTGAGTCTGAAGAAGCTCAGCACAGGCTCTGTAGCACCGGCACGGATCCTGAAATACTTTGGGAAGATTTTTAACTCCAAATTTTGCTTGAGGAGCACCGTTAGGCCACTCTTTTTGGTTTCCAACCGCTGAGGGATTTTTTTTTTTACGTGCACAACAATTCACACGGGCGTCCGATCTCGCTACCCAGAAACCAAGGGGAATAACTAGAAGTCCAAGTCCACGAGACCACACAGCCTCCCTCATCTCCGAAGAGAAGCTAGCCAACATCAACACTGCCAGCCTCAGTACCAAGCGCTTGAGCGCACCCTTACACACCCCTTCTGTATACCATCTTCTTCTTAAAGTCCACACTGTGTGGCGTTGGTGGTCATGTCTATCCGCAACCTTCTGTCTTGTGTACTTTCTGTCAACTCTGACACAAATGATCTTCCATGCCATGAACGTGAAACCATCCAGCATCTGTTCTCTCTGTCTCCCTCTGCCTCCCCTTCCCTCCGACTTTCCTACAGTTATGATGTACTCCAGTTTTCTCCGTCTCATCACATGACCAAAGAATGTAGATTGTCTCTTTCTGATGTGGGCAATCAGTTCTATTCGTTGAGTCAGTTTCTTTCAAGATGGCTTCATTACTCTTTTTACCTGTCCAGGGTATTCTTATCATTCGTCTGTAAAACCACATTTCCGCAGCTTTCAAATAAGTTTTTACTAAATCACAATCCATGATTTTTATGCATATATAAATATAGGATTAATGTAGCTTTTAAGAATTCTCTTTTCGTCTCAATTGACAAAGAAAGATTGCATAAAATATTCTAAATTTTTTTCAGAGCATACTGAAATTATATTTCCAGAAATATGTACAAAATCAGATAAGACCACATACATCATGTGAAGAAACAAACCATGACCAAGATGTTAATAGTTGAATAAAAAAAAAAAAATTTTTTTTTTTAACAGAAGAGCCAGATGTTAACAGTTCTCTCACTCAAGGATGGGGACCAGAGGGAGTTTAACTGTTCATTGGTCATCTCCCCTCAGGTGAGTTAGCTAACATCCAGTAGTGAAAAGACGATTATAGACATGTCAGGTGGGGAGGGAGGGGGGGGGCTGTGTAACTGTTATTTAGTAGAGACAATTGAGAGAATATCAAGTAGTGGTCGTGTGTTGTGATAATGTCAAGTGCTGGTTGTGAGTTGTGATAATATCAAGTGGTGGATCTGAGTTGTGATAAAATCAAGTGGTGGTTGTGATAATATCAAGTGGTGGATCTGAGTTGTGATAAAATCAAGTGGTGGTTGTGATAATATCAAGTGGTGGATCTGAGTTGTGATAAAATCAAGTGGTGGTCGTGATAATATCAAGTGGTGGATATGAGTTGTGATGACATTAAGTTGTGGATATGAGTTGTGATAATATCAAGTGCTGGATGTGAGTTATGCTAATATCAAGTGATGGATGCGAGAATATCGTGGTGGATGAGAAAAATCTGATTGTAGATGAGACAGTTGTTGGGCATGTTAAATGAAAGATAAGCCCTTAGGTAAACGAGCTAGTATATGGCAGAGAAAAAAATAATTTTAGATATGTCAGGTAGGGATGAGAGTTGTGTGACTACATCATATAATAGCACAATAAGTCTTATGAGTTATGTGATACAAAGGTTGCTGAGAATAATTATGAGAAGAAAAAGAAACAAGATTAAATCAGAGCATAAAGATGGGAGTGAGACAAGGATGTGAACTATCACCTGATTTGTTTTCATAATACAGTAAATATATAAAACAAGATCTATCATGGAAATGTCAGGAATTGTGGCTGGTGGTCATAACATAAACAGTCTACGTTACACTGATGACACTGTCTTGATGGCGACAAGTTGGCTGATAACTTCCACAATAATCCTACATTACTTATTCACACAATGTTTAGTACACTGCATCACAACCGTCTTCCTCTAAATCTAGTACCCAACTGACCACAAGCCAGCCTCAGGCTTTTTCTTGTCCATCTCTCTAGCCTTGATTATCCCGTGCCATGGTCACTTGCACAGGTTTTCTGCTCGGCTTGTTGTGACCGTGGGCCATCATGCTAAGCACGGTCATCACACAGTGAATGAGACAGTTGTGGGGACAACAGGTAGGGAATGGGAAATGTCAAGTGATAGATAAGAAAAAAATATAAGATGGTAATGTGAGCGTTTCATTTCAAAGATATGAGACATTGTTGTTACATTATATGATGGATGAGCCATTTGTAATATTGTCATGGGGCTGATGACACCATTTGTGTCTCCATTTGCCTGCCTGATTTCTTCTTCTTCTTCTTCTTCTTCTTCTTCTTCTTCTTCTTCTTCACATTCACAGGCTGTAAACTCAGTAGGAAAGTTCTGGATGTTAGTACACCTCCATCTTGTTAGTCTTGTTACAGAGCCTGAGTGTTTCACAGATCTGGTTTATTTGTATGCAGACTGTTGGTTCTTGCCTCTCAGTGGAGGTTCTTAGGCTTCATTGGATGTCCCCAATTAGTCGACTTCTACGACGTGCTTGTTGGGGAAGACAGTGGATCTGTTCTTGTTTTCCCTCACAATGGGACCCCAGAACGCACACGAGGAGCCTGTTTTGAAAATTGTTTATTGCACAACTGTGTTATCAAGTTATATATTGCTGAATATTTGTATACTTGTTTAACTTGGATGTTATCCCATGTTCAGCTTGTGTTACTGGGAACCGAAGATGGGTTGTATGCAATGAACCCTGAAGCTCTGACTTCCAAAAACAGCAGACTTGTTCAACTCACAGGCTTTGGCAGCGTGCATCAGATGGCTCTGGCTAAAGGAGTGGACCTAATTCTTATACTGACTGGTAAGTTGTGTTTTCCATCTTTACAAAGATAAATTTGATAGTTTCTTACACAGTTTTTGGCTTGCTATGGAAGTCTTGATAGAATGCCTGATATATTTATCAAGACATTTGACTATATAACATTGTCATTGTGGCTTCTGAATTCTATAAAGTGGTTACCAGAAATTCTATAAAGTGCTTACCAGAATACTGGGGCTGTCTTCTTCTTTTCTTTTTTTTGGTCATCTCACAGATACCAGGTTGTAGCAGTGTTGTGGTTCTCTGTATTTGTCGTCCGCTTCTCGTTTGGTTTCGGTGATGGATTTGTTCATCTTTTTGCTGGTTTCAGCACCATTTATGCATCTTTTTTTTTGGTGTCTTCCTCTTTCCTTACTCCCAGATGTTCTGCTGTAAAAAGTCTCATATGCAGTTTGATCTGGCTGCATTCTCACTACATGGCCAAACCATTCAATTCTTTGTCAGTGTAATTCAGACAGTCTTATCCCAACCTTTTCTCTAAAGCTGGTATTTGTAACCCTGACCCTTGCGTTGTTAGTTACCTTATAGAGACAGAGCATTTCACAAGTAATTCTCTGGAGCTATGACCCTGTTATATTTTGATAAGTTACTTGGTTACTAGAACGCTTGAGAGTAATTTGGTTGCAAAGGCACTTGACTTTGATTTCATTACCAGGGTAGTTGACTTTGATTTCATTACCATGGAACTTGACTGTGATATGATGTGAGGGGGGGGGAGATAAAAATCTGATATCTATTATAGCCATGAAATCAGGCCCAGGGACTCCCTTCTCATTCCTTATCTGCTCCTTCCCCTTAAAATTGCCACTATTGAAAACGGGTGGCATCCTTCACTTCGGAGGTCGGTCACGAGGGATGAGCATTGTCTGGATCTTTTTCCATGGGCATGCAGTTTGGCTGGGAAATGAACCGACAGACAGACAGACTGGCTGGCTCTGCACAACTTGGTGGAATACTGATGCATGATAAGGCAGATGTGATTAAAGCCTTATGGGAGCACGTGTACAGTTGGGAGGAGTAAATGGATCATCACTCTGGTGAGAATGATGAGGCGATCAAGCTGATGCTCGATGCTCAAAGGAAAGGCAAGATGTTGGTTCTTGAACCAACTCAACTTAGCTCTCCCTAAAAATTTTAAGTAAGCACATGCAGTAAAGACAGTCCTTTATTATAAACGACAGTCAGTTTTTGTTTCTGAGCGCATCTGCTACATTCTACAGGCCCTGAACGACGATTGGTCATGCTGGAGAATAAACTGGTCAAGTGTCGTATGAGTCAGACCCTCGGAGGAGAGACTGTCCCTTTCTCATTCCGGATGGTGGAGGGTCTGCAAGCTTGCACAGTGTTCGATGTGGGCTTGTGGAACCATGCCAGCTACCTGTGTGTGGGGACCCCAACCAAGCTGTACCTCATGAAGTACAACACAAATCTATCCATGTACTGTGTGAGAAAGGTATTTAGACTACTTTATATTTTTGTATTCTGTCAGAAGTATATTCTAGCTACTTCTTTCCTTTTCTGTGTGTGTTTAAGAAATGTTTCATCTACTTTTGTGTATATATATATATATTATATATATATATATATATATATATATATATATATATATACACACACACACACACACACACACACACACACACACACACACACACGCGCAGCGCAGCGCGCGCGCGCGCGCACACACACACACATACATACATGCACACACACATATATATATATACATACATATATAATTTTTTTTTTTATTATTATGTTGGAAGGATATTCTGTCTCCCTAATTTCTTTTGTGTGTGTGAGAAACCATGTGGTAAGGATATCATGTCTACTTGATAGCATTTTTTGTGTGTGTCAACAAGAAAGCTATCTAGTCTACTTTCTATTTTTATGTTGCATGTGGGAAGGATATCATGTCTACTTAATTCCTTTTGTTTTTAGCAAGAAAGGTAGTTAATCTACTATACATTTTTGTATTGCATGGAAATGATATTTCATCTGCTTGATACTTTGGGTTGGGGTGTGGGGGGTGTGAGAAAAGTATTTAGTCTACTTTATATATTTTTTAAATTATGTCGGCAGGAAATCCTTATCTACTTGATTCCTTTTGTTTGTGTGCAAAAAAAATAGTTAAAACATATTTTTCTTCCTGTTGAGCCACGTGTTATTTGTTAGTTTATTAGACTATCTGCCTATTCTGTTAATGGAAGTGAATCATGGACAGTCAGTGAAAAACTATGTGGAAGTGGCGGTGATGTTGTTCATAAATGAATAATGATAACACCCTGGACAGATAAAAAGAGTAGTAAAGATATCTTGAAAGAAGCTAACAAAGAAAACTAGATTGCACACATCAGAAGGAGACAATCTACATTCTTTGGTCAAGTTGATGAGAAGGAGAAATGGGTACATTGTGAAAGCTGGAGGGGAAAAGAGGCAGAGGGAGACCCAGGGAGAAGATGCTGGAAAGTTTGGCATCATGGCATAGAAGGTAATCTTTGTCAGGATTGATTTACAGTACACCTGACAGAAGGTTGTGGATACGAGACATGACTACCAACTCCACACATCTCGGATTGTAGGAAGGGACTGTCTGAGATTAGAGGCAACAATGAGATCCTTCCATTCAGCTTAGCAGGAATCAAGTGTACACAGTAATGTAGTATTGGTGGTTTTGTTACAGGAGTTTCCCAGCTCGGAGCCCTGCAGCTGTGTCTGTATAGCAGAGAATTATGCCATAGTGGGCACTGAGCGCTTCTACAAGATCAATCTAGAGCACCCGAGCCTGCTGGGTAAGTTAAGTCTTCTAACAACTGAGATTGGCTGAATTTGACTTCTTTCCCTGCAGCTTGTTACCTTTAGCAGATGTGGAAGGCTACATAGATGATAGATGTTGAAGAATAATGTCTATATAAACCTGGTTCAGCGATGTCAGTTCTTTCAAACTAAAACTTGAACTTTGGCCTAGCATGATACAGGCAGATTGAGACACAAGGCTTCTGAGGCCAGTCTGGTTTGAAATGTGAAATGGAAGTATGTGAATGAGTACTGGCCAAGTGAATGGGAGTGGCAGCCGAGGGAGACTGGCCTAATATGTGGTGCCTTATTGTGTAATGATTTATAAATCAAGACTAAGATTGGACTCATTGGGAATCTGTTGAGACTGCTGTGAACAACTCCAGCAGAGTGATCACACAGATTGTTAGATTGAAATAAGACTACTGTTTTTCTATGCTGCTGTTATGAATTACTCCTGGAAATGTGTCAATGTCAATGTAAGTATTAACAATTTTGTATGTTCAAAAAGGTGTTAACACTTGAGCTGTACCGAATAGGTGATTATTACTATTTGGCCGAATACGAATAACTGGACCAACTATTCGGCCAAATACAAATAGTGTATAGTTTATAAATAAATGTAAAAAACATCCATAATGTCAAATGTACGCTGAACTTTTACTTCACGAAATGTAGTACAGAATGGGAAACATTTAAAAACATTTTATGTTTTGCATCCTTTAGTCAGTTTGTGGTAACTAATAACTAGGAATGAAAATATTCAAAGTATTATAACAAGTAACTCAACTTGCGCTATTGAAAAATAATAATAGCAGAAAGCATGGTAACAGAAAGAAGGGGCGGTGGCCGACCAACACAAAGATGGGCACAGGATATAAGTACTCCTTGAATATGAAAGTACACGAGGTGGGACAGCTGGCGAGAGACCAAGTTTCTTTCACGCTTACTGTGATGAGAGCAACGTTCTGCAAAGAATCTGCTACATGATGACGATGCTATATCATTTGTACTTACTTACTTACTTAGTCGCTCATTTTCTACCTTGGGGTGTAGAGGTTTGCCAGAGAGATCGCCAGACGTCTCTATCTGCAGTTTTCTTTCTGGCTTTGTTCCATTCCAGTCCTCTGTCATTTAGGGACCATCAGATGTTGTCTTCCCAGCTTTCTAGCGGACCGAGGGTGATCTGTAGGTCTGGTTCCCTGGTACTTAGCCTCCCATGCGTGATTGAACCATTGTAACCGGACATAAATATCTGATGTTACACTTATCACTCGGAGAAAATACTTATTGTTTAAAATAATAATAATTTTTTTTCTCCTGTTGAACAACTTTCAAAATACATGATTTAGAACCAGAGCTGATGCAATGGAATATCTGACATACATTTGGCCTGCTGATACTTTCAGACTTTGTTGACAGACAGGACAGTTCTCTGGCTTTTGCAGCATTTGGTGCAGCTAACCACAGTAGCTTCCCCTTGGCTGTTGTACGTACATCCCAAGATAATGCATCTTTAGAGTTTCTCTTGTGTTTTCATGGTGAGTTTGATTTTAAACGCCGGTTCTCTCTTTTTTTTTTCTATTTATACTGTTTCTATCAAGTGCTGATTTGTCTGTAACATGTAGGACTAGCCCTATAAGCCCAACACGACTGAATGCGTGAATAGGGTCCTTTACCTTTTTTGTTTAATTTTATTGTTTCTATCTTTCTACATTATTCTAGCTTCCTACTTACTTCTGCAGAACTCTTTTAAAAATAATTATTTTTTCCCCCCATTTGTCACCTTCTCTCCTCTCTTTTCCTTTCTAGTATCTTCTTTCCTCTCATGAGTGTCATCTTCCATTCTGTCACTTTCTTTTCTGTATTCCATTGCCTTGTATACTTTCTCTCTTTTTTTCTTCTGCCCTCTTTTCAATTTTTAATAATAATAATATAACAAAATAGCCTATATCCTTGTATTTATTCTGTGGCCCAATTTTGGAAGAAAAAAGGAATAGCCCTGCTGTCTCCTAGCCCTGCTGTCTCCTAGCCCTGCTGTCTCCTAGCCCTGCTGTCTCCTAGCCCTGCTGTCTCCTAGCCCTGCTGTCTCCTAGCCCTGCTGTCTCCTAGCCCTGCTGTCTCCAAGCCCTGCTATCTCCTAGCCATGCTATCTCCCAGCCCTGCTATCTCCCAGCCATGCTGTCTCCTAGCCATGCTGTCTCCTAGCCCTGCTGTCTCCTAGCCATGCTCTCTCCTAGCCATGCTGTCTCCTAGCCCTGCTGTCTCCAAGCCCTGCTATCTCTTAGCCCTGCTGTCTCCTAGCCCTGCTATCTCCTAGCCCTGCTGTCTCCTAGCCCTGCTGTCTCCTAGCCATGCTCTCTCCTAGCCCTGCTGTCTCCTAGCCATGCTCTCTCCTAGCCATGCTGTCTCCTAGCCATGCTGTCTCCTAGCCCTGCTGTCTCCTAGCCCTGCTGTCTCCTAGCCCTGCTATCTCCTAGCCATGCTGTCTCCTAGCCATGCTGTATACTAGCCGTGCTGTCTCCTAGCCCTGCTGTCTCCTAGCCGTGCTATCTCCTAGCCGTGCTATCTCCTAGCCATGCTGTCTCCTAGTCATGCTGTATACTAGCCATGCTATCTCCTAGCTCTGCTATCTCCTAGCCCTGCTATCTCCTAGCCCTGCTGTCTCCTAGCCCTGCTGTCTCCTAGCCCTGCTATCTCCTAGCCATGCTGTCTCCTAGCCCTGCTATCTCTTAGCCATGCTATCTCCTAGCCATGCTGTCTCCTAGCCCTGCTGTCTCCTAGCCCTGCTATCTCCTAGCCCTGCTGTCTCCAAGCCATGCTGTCTCCTAGCCATGCTGTCTTCTAGCCATGCTGTCTCCTAGCCCTGCTTCACAACAAACATCTTGTAAAAGGTGAATTAGGTGGTTTGCTGAAATTGGATATGGTGGGCTGAAAGAAACATAAATCTCAGTCTAGCTGTAAACTACAACACTATGTGTCAGCCAACTTTTGTTGTTGTTGGCGAATACAAAGGTAGAAGAAGAAATTGGCTCAAAGAATCTGAGTGATGATAGGCCTCAAGGATATTGTTAAACACAGCACTTTTAGTGTGGAAACAATATTACCTTTTAGAGTCGGGAACTACAAGCTAGACTTTGTGAGGGCCCTCTTGGAGCTAGTGAACAGTGTGAACGAGCAAATAGATCATTGTGGTCTGAGGAGAATGGCGCTGTGAGGAGTTACCAGGGGATCTGGCCTGCATTCAACACTCAAGGGAGGAGTGAGACGGATGTACAATCAGACAGTTACTGGTGCCATCGGAATTGGAACTCTTTGTTTGCTGCTGAAGATGGGGACAGAGCGCTTATGGAGGTGTTCCGTCTTTGTTTGCTGCTGAAGATGGGGACAGAGCGCTTATGGAGGTGTTCCGAGTGCTATGATGTCAATTCTTAATTCAACATTGAAGTCATGAACTGTTCTCACAAAGTAACTTGATGTTAAACAACTGCTCATTGAGTTCCAGCCTCTTGTTGTTGGGGCTAATGGATCATTGACCTTCCAGTGATCGTTGGTGATTTTCAGGGGAGGAGCCATACATAGTATTTTTAATTTTTTTTCTCTGTGGCTTAGGGGTTAGTGAATTTGGCTAATAATTTTGTGACCCTCGAGGGATTTGTTCCTCGTGATGGATGCTTTCAGACAGTGGTACGAGAGTCACACCGTGGAAGAGATTGGAGCCTCACTACCTGATATTCCCAGAGACAACGGTAGTACACTGTAGACAACCTTTATTGTGGGGACAACATCGAATTAAGAGTCCCTAAGGACATCTTTTGTGGTGAATGACAGATGGGTAAAGGATGTTGGGGTCAGTCTTTACTATGAATTAAAGATGTGTGCAAGCGGGACATGAATAATACAGGGTTTGCATTGGACCCTTAAAAACAGGATGCCATTGATCCCACAGCACGGAAAAGGGCTGGGTGGGAGAAAAGTATAGCAGACAAGTTCAGAGCTGAGCGTCAGACAATAGACATGTCGGGTACAAGCAACAGTGGCCTTTAAATCTCCGGTACCTTTTGGGGAGGATTCTTCTTAAGGATGGGAGTCGCCGTGGCCGAGCGGCTGGATGCTCGTCGCGGATCAGAAAGTCGTGGGTTCCCTCCTTGGCGGAGCAGGACTTTAAAACCTTGGCTCCCAGGTCGACTCAGCCTTGAGTGGGTACCGGTTGCAGTCCCGGGAAAGTAAAGGCGGCTGGCGTGATGCTGACCACATCACCCATCTTGTGCCGATTGGTGTATAAAAATATAGGTCTAGCCCTATACGCCCTATACGCCTAAAGGTGTGGAAAAGGGTCCTTTACTTTTACCTTTACTTACTTCTTAAGGATAGCTGATCGTGCTGGTCACATTCATTGTCAGCATGGATTAATGATTCTCATGCCTCCCTGTTCCACAGTACATCACTGTCGTCTGGAGAGTCAGAAAGTTGCCAGCAGTGTACATCTTTAGAGTAGAGCCGTCCTCATAAAATGATTACCATAAATTTTATTTTTTTTGGTTAGCTTCATTTTTTTTTCCTATTTTTGTCCAGTTATTTAAGTTTAAGTTTCTATGCTTGTCTACAGAGTTTGGAGTATTTGTTGATCATCATGGGCAGAGAAGCCGGGCAACAGATGTTAAATGGAGTGGTTTGCCCCTTGCTTTTGGTAAATAATATGTATATATATATATATATATATATATATATATATATATATATATATATATATATATATATATATATATATATATATATATATATATATATATATATATATTGTTTTTGTTAAATGTTTTGTTTCTGTACATGTTCCTAACCCGTGCATCGACAGCTGACATTGTAAATACTGGATATTTTAAAAGTCGACCCTGTCAATGTCCAGTATGTTTCACAGTTGACTCTGTCCATGTTCAGTATTTCCATAGTCAATCCTGTTAGTGTCCAAAATTTTCCACAGTTGATCCTATCAGTGTCCAGTATTTCCACAATTGATCCTATCAGTGTCCAATATTTCCACAGTGGATCCTATCAGTGTCCAATATTGCCTTGCTGTTTTTCTTCTTCTCTTGCCACATTAAAGTTTTGGGGTTGGAGGATGTAGATCTATGTGTATTTTCTAATGCATTGCATAAGCTGGTATTCATATCTTTAAGGCTGTTCTTAATACTGTTGTCCCGTATATTTTGTGATCTTCCTCATGATCATGTGTTCATTATGTTTCATCAGCTTGGCTCTTTGTGGCAGCTTGTTCCTGGGCATTTTTGTCTGGAGGCCAGCCATTGCATTTGTCGCTGGATTTTTCTTTGTGTTTTAGTAGGTATAGCAATGGATCGTTTTGTTTCGTTTTTTTTTGCTATACATTTTCGTCGGTATCTATAGACACGATTGCGACCCGAAAATTTGAAAACCAATTGTCTGTTATTCAGAAATTATTTTTCTGTGCTCTTTACGTGAAAGATAAAATCGGAAAAGTTTTTAGAAGTTATTGGAGAGATGCCAGGCTTTGACCTGAGATGGTTTTGACGCGTATAAAATAAATCGATTTTTTTTTGGGCAGCACGTGGTGAATAACGGTAAGTAATTTCATAAATATCTTTTTAATTAGATAGATTACCGCAAAGTGTGTTGTATTTTTGAATTCTGCGATAATTTTTATATAAGTGTGGGAAATTTCACAAAGATTGGCAATACAGCACATGTTTAAAAAAATTGTTTAGTGGCATCACTGTTTTGGCTTTAAATCCAATAACGGTAAGTAATTTCGTAAATATCTTCTTAATTAGCCAGATTACCGCAATGTGTGTTGTATTTTTGAATTCTGCGTTAATTTTTATATAAGTGTGGGAAATTTCACAAAGATTGGCAATATAGCACATGTTTAAAAAAATTGTTTAGTGGCATCACTGTTTTGGCTTTAAATCTTATAACGGTAAGTAATTTCGTAAATATCTTCTTAATTAGCCAGATTACCGCAATGTGTGTTGTATTTTTGAATTCTGCGTTAATTTTTATATAAGTGTGGAAAATTTCACAAAGATTGGCAATACAGCACATGTTTAAAAAAATTGTTTAGTGGCATCACTGTTTTGGCTTTAAATCCAATAACGGTAAGTAATTTCGTAAATATCTTCCTAATTAGCCAGATTACCGCAGTGTGTGTTGTATTTTTGAATTCTGCGTTAATTTTTATATGTGTGGGAAATTTCACAAAGATTGGCTATACAGCACATGTTTAAAAAAATTGTTTAGTGGCATCACTGTTTTGGCTTTAAATTCAATATGTTTGCACTAGGAGACAGTTTTTCCCGCTTTATAATTAACTTAAAATAATTATTAAATTAGCTAACGTTATTTTAATCATTTAAAAAAAAAATCCACAACCATTGTAGCATTTGTTCATGCATCTGTCATTATTTAGAGCCCTTCGCATTCTCTGTTGGATATTTTTTTTCCCTGATCACCCTCAAATCCCAATAATTAATTTGGGCCATCACAGCCATGTTAACACAGATTAAACTTACTAATCACACAAACATAAAAGCTAGACAGTTTGAACAGTGAATGATGGACACTTAAGTCAATAATGAATCTTTCTGAACATGTAATAAATGCAACACATACATTATATAAGAATCAGCATAGAACTTCAAGAACCCAGAGTGATAGGAAGGACAAAAACTTCAAAACAGATCTGACTGAATGTATAAGAGATTCCCAAGGTCCGCCTAGATCATCATCATGATCATGTGGACGATTAACAGTGAAGCCCGGCAATAAACCAATTGACCACACTTATCTGAATCCCTGGTTTCTTAAACTTGCTGAATATTCACTCACTGTGTTGTTACGTTGAAGACAGTCCCACACTAGACACTCGAACACTGGTGATACACCCAAGCTCCTGGAGAGGATCTCGGGTACCAAGTCAATCACTTGAGGCACAAACAAGCTTCCGGATAAATGATGGTGAAGGTACAACACCCATTATGTTGTCCATAGACCAACTGGAGGATTTCCCTAATGGATGACTGGCTTGGACATTGGTGACTTCCTTGTAGGTGTTTTTGTGGACTGCTGATTCACTGCCTGGCCTCCAACAAGATACCATCCTGTATCAAGAAGGAACTCAGAATTAGCAGTCATCTCAGGGGTTACATGTCAAGCTCAGTTTATTAACATCCACATTAGTAATCATTCAGAGGAGAGTTTTCAGGATAATGAGACAGTATAAGTCTCTAAATATCATCTCTGTTGTTCAGTCAGTAACAGGGACAAGAGACGAGTAGCAGAGTAGAGACAGATAGACTCTATCAAACATAGGACATCAACTCTCCTCGCCCACCTCTGCACTTGTAGATATACATCCCATCTCTCTCTCACATATATATATTTTATACCTCCACATTCTGCCCACTGCACACCCAGTGTTGTTGTGCTAAAAAAAAAAACCTCTAACGTCACAGTGCCTAGCTGGCTGAAGTGTGACCCAGTTAAATATGTCCGCTATTTGACACAAACTCTGTCGGCTGGTTAGAGAATAATTAACTTGCTGAGTTTAATATATTTATAATGGTGTGGGTCAGGTAGGGCACAAACTATTAGCCTGCGAAGGGAAAGGTTTGATTTCAGGGGCTTGAGTGTCTGGACACCAAGAACGGCCTAGTTCTGTGCGGTCACACAGCTGAATCTTTCCTCCCTGCAGCAGCGGCTAACTTTATAGAGACATATATCATGGTACTTGTAAACTATAATCAACTTACCCAAGCTTAGGAATCCTTCAAAGATTAAACTGGTATTTTGAATGCGCCAAGATTTAATCAGAGAGGTGACATACTTCTGCACACCTAGGAAGTCAGGCAAAGAATGACCCGGCCTGATCTCGCTTTGCGTCTCTAGAAAAAAAGTCCCGTATAAGTACACCAAGGAGTAAAAAGGTTTCCAGGAAATCGAAATATTATTCCAGAAAATATATATCCCACAGTTGCAAGTTTGAAAATGTAGACTTTTCAAAACAACTAGAGGGTATAGAAATATCTGTTCCACCAGATAGAGGTATATATCAAAATAATTGATTATATACCCACCGGACGGGTTTAAATTTGAAATGTGACCTGCCCGCTAGGGGCGTCAACGTCACGACGAGTCTACTGTGCAGGGTAGACACCTCTTGACATAAGCTTAGCTTCAGGTTTGACAATTTTCCCATTGGCAACCCTCCCATGCTTGGCTGTCCGCGTGTGGCTGCTATAGATCTATTTCTTACATTCAATGCTGGGTGGACATGGGAGCCAAGGTCATTTTTGAAAGAAAAGTAAATCCGACCTGACCTGATTCCCAGAAATGAACACACCTGCTGTGTTTGCCCTGTTGTTAACACTGTCACCGACCTATTTTGAAAACGGCGTGTACTACCAGTGGGCTCATGTTTTCTTCTACCATATAGAACGGAGAGTTGGGGGAGGGGCAGTAGAAGATTGAGAGAAAGTTGAGAAAGAGAGGGAGCAGGAGGAGGAGAGAGGAATTTTTAAAAAAAGAGACTAAGAAAAGAAAGTCGACACTGAGACATGGGGAAAAAGAAAGGAAAGGAAAAAGAAAGAAAGAAGAGGAGAGATACCAGGGAAACAAGGTAGCAGGAAGGGGGTGCGGCCATCCCGGTATCATCACTGTGGGGGGGGGGGGGGCAACCACCCTAGGTGTCATTACTGTGCGGAGATAGACCACCCCGGGTGACATCGCTGTTGCAAAGGGGGGGGGGGGGGGGTTCCCGTATTTGTTAATTAGGTCACGTCAACTGACATTGGCACATTTATCTGATCTTTATGTTCGCCTTGCCAGGACACACAATATGATATGTTTTAAGCCAGGCTCGCTGGCAGACAACTGTAAATGTATAAGGTTTTAGATGAAAAATAAATCAGCCTGCAGACATTTTCCTATGTTAAATAGGCGCATATCGTAGTGTATGTAATTGAGACATGCATAAACGGTTAGGTCTCACTGTCCCGATTCTAGCAATATATGGTTGCTAAGGGATTCGTTCAAAAACAAAAAAGTTATGGCCGTAAAATGTAAACATTGAGTCATTTCATCTCACTGGGTCGCAGCCGGAAGCCATGTTTCAAGGATTTCCACTACAATTTTTCTGTCCTGGTGTCCGCCACTAAAATGTTAATATCTCCGCTTAGAATCGACTTACAGGCTTAAATGAGGTACCATTGGATTTGTAATTTTAATTTTTATCTAGCTGTTACAATTTCGTAAGTAAAAACACAAAAAATAAAACTTCACTACCATCCCTAATTTTAGCATTTGCTTATTGTAATGTGTATTATGTTTCTCCTTTACGTCTGTAGCATTGGTAGTCATATCTGTCCACAACTTTCTGTCTCGTGTACTTTCAAGCAACTCTGACACAGATTTATCCTCCATGCCATGATGTCAAACTTTTTCTCAGTCTCCCTCTGCCTCTCTTCACCTCCAGCTTTCCTACAGTCATGATGTGCTCCAGTTTTCTCCTCATCACATGACCAAAGAATGTAGATTGTCTCTTTCTTATGTGAGTGATCAGTTCTCTTTGTGAATCAGTTTCTTTCAAGACATCCTCATTTGAGATGAACCTTGGCTTAAAACGTATCTGCTTTGCCACGATTCAGCTTTATATGATGACTGCAACATATCTACTCGCACTGCTCTAACATCTAGGACTGATAACACAAACGCCGCTCAGCTTCCTTCTACATTCTATCAGTTTATTCTGTTGCATTTATTTAACATGCTCCAGCTATTATTCACACTTCCATCGCTTGCGACATATTCAAACACTGGTCATTCATGCGACATAAGAACTACATCTTCTATTAACACAACTGTCTTCTACGACTTCTGGTAACCAACTGACCACGAGTCCAGCTCGGGCTTCCCCTCGCTCACTCACTCGACCAGCCACAAGTATCTCATGCTGTCACTTGTAGCACAGACTTTCTGCTTGCCACGATGTACTCGTGGAGACTATGCAAAGCACCTCATCATATCATTACTCTTTTTTATCTGTCCAGGGTATTCTCATCATTCGCCTATAAACCACTTCTCCGCAGCTTCTAAATAGTTTTTCACTAATCTACCAGCTGTGTATTATGTTTAGCGACCGTTAAATGTGTAAGAAATCAATAATTAAAGAAATTGATGGTCAATAAATAGGATATATTTAAGAAAGGTGAATAAAAAAAAAAAAGTCTGGATAGCCACTGATATTAACAGTTTTAAGAGAAAGAAAATGTGAAAAACATATATACAGGGTATGTTGTGAGAAGAAGCAGACAGACAGTCACTCATCAGCCATTGAATGGGAACAGATGAGAGAGATTCAAGAGAATCTCTGAGATGAACATTATTGAAAGAAGCCGATAGTGCTGGACTGGATTCTATAGAAATGATGTACGAAACAATTTTACAGGATAGAATGTAATAGATGATTAGTCTGCGAGCCCCATATGACATATAACGAAGCAATATGATGAATATGTTTGTAATCCAGTATTTTATTTTCCAGTACTGGGTATTTACCATATTTTCCACATGTATAAGACGGTCCCTATTTTTAAGCTCAAAATTAGGAAGTAAATATTTTGAACACATTCTTTGTATTAAGACGACCCTCAGTTTAAAACTTAAAATATTTTGGGAAAACATCATATAAACTGAAATTCCCCTTCTGGGTTCTGGAGCCCCATTGTGGGGGAAACATGAAGAGACCAATTGCCTACTGATATACATGTGTTAAGAATCGACTAACTAGGGAGCTTCCTTCGAAGTCGGAGTGCCTCTGCCCGAGCAGCAGGGAACAACCAACTGCACACAGATAAGCCAGAAAATGGATGTACACCCTGGCACAAGCCAAAGTCCAAATGGGTGAACAACCAGGACTTTCAGCCGGAACTTGCAGCAGGTCAACAAAGAAAAGGATATACAAAAATATGTGGTATGGTTTGAAATCCTGCACTGTCCTATTTCATATCATGTTTGTTTGTTTGTATTGCAGCCTTTGTGGAACCATTCCTATATGTAACCTACACAAATACGGTGCAGGCTACAGTCGTGCCTACGGACAGAACTCTGGCTAGGTAAGTACACACGCTTGACTTCACTATGCAGACAACTCTTCTTGTTCTTACTGTTCATTGTCCGTTAACTCGAGCGGACAGTTGTGGTCTTCTGTCCACTCTTGGACTGAGGTCTAGATCCAGAACTTGAGTTTTACATGCACATCCATTTTACAGATCTGGCTTATTTGTATGCAGACTGTAGGTTCCTTGCCTCTCAGGCAGATGCAGTCTGACTGAAGGAAAACACCCCTTATTGGTGGCCTCCTATGACATGCGTGTAAGGGAGCAGCGAGTCTCTATTTTGTTATCCCAAATGGAGCCCCAGAACTGTGTGCTTCTGTCTTTACTGTCTGTTGTACTCGCCAGATTTTAGGACCATGCATGAGGGGCGGGGGGAATCTTGAGCGTAAGAATTTAGGGCTGCATGGCTGGGGGAGTCAATATGGATGGTGAAGGTTAGGATTTATTGTTTGCCCCTGACACCTTATCAAGGATTCAAACTGGTTAATGTAAACTATTTAGGCATACATTGGATGAGATGCACGGAAATATGCCAGGCCATAAGTTGTGCAAGATATTGTTCTTTATGCGTCATTTTTGAAATTTAGAAGGGGAAAACACTGTTATGAGGAGTGGCTGGCCAGACAGTTAAGAACACAGGGCTCTCATACAGAGAGACCTGGATTCAAACCCTTGGTAAGATTGGGGATTTGTTTTCTGTCAGGGGCAAAGAATGAAATTCTAACCTGCACAGTCTATGGCAACTGCACCAGCACGCGAACCTAAATCCTGAGACTAAAAAACCCCTACACCACAAAAGTGGTAAAAACAGGAAGTAATGACAGATTTTTTAACACTGTTTTTAATTTTTATATTGTCAGCACCAAATGACTCATCAAGTCTAGCATCAAATGACCGATGCACCCCTGATGTAAGGAGGGTCAGGAGGGGAGACCAAATGGCTCTTGATTTGTACCATCCTAGCCATTGTTTTATTCCCAACGTGCCATCTCTCTATTGCTTTCCAGTTTCCTCTTTGTCAGCCTTTTTCTTCTTGTTTCGTAATATTTTACAAAGCAGGCTGAAAAAGGGCATGCTCTGTGCAGAGTGGCCAGGAGTTAGTGTCCTTTAGTTATTTTCTCCAGTACATGCAGGTATCCTGAGAAATGAACAGGCAGGTAGATTGGTTGGTTCTGTACCACTTGGCAGGAAATTGATGCCTGACAAGCTGAATGTGGTCAAGGCTCTTTGGGAGTGAGTGAACAGTGTTGAAGTCATGGTCTGGAAAGAATAGTGCAGCAAGGAGTGATGGTGGGATCTGGCCGACACTCAGATGAAAGGTAAGATGAATGTACAATCAGATTGCTACTGGCATCATCAGAGTTAGAGAATTCTGTGGTGACTGGCTGCTCAAGAGGGGGACAGAGCAGAAATGGGAATGCACTGAGTGATGTGATGTCTTCTCTTAACTCAGCCTAACTCATAATTCTTGCTGGGTTTTTCCCCCTTCAGTTTAACATTATTTCTTAAATTAATTTAGTGACTCCGATTTTATAAGAGCAGATATTTAAAGAACGTTTTGTTGATCTACAGGGGCCGACAAACAATATTAGACATCCAGTCCCCTCGTTATCTGGGTCCAGCCCCTTCATACGGGTGTGTTTATATAAGTAGTACTGACACCAGCATTAATGTGACAGAAGTGATCTGTGTTCGAGGACAGGAAGATTTCTCTAAAGACTACCCACATGATAAAGAGAATGTTGACAGGTGAGTCCATCAGTTTCTGATATAATTCATTTAGACAACTAACACATACAACAGTCAGCTACTAATATAATTGCTTGTTCATGTACAGGGACCACTTATGAGGCAGTTTATTGTTGAGGTGTATGTCTGGTGATTAGTCAAGGTTTCAACTTTACTGCGGAACAGGTTTCCCCATAATTGCTCTGTTCCTGTGTCAGTGGAATTCACACAAAATGTCCGTCACTGTCCCAGTTAAAAAACTAGCAAAAAACACACATCCCAGCAAAATCTTGAAGCTTGCACAGGTTAAGTAAATGTATAAGCAGCTGTCAGTTGTGCCAACTCTTAACAGCTACTCATCAGAATTGCAACCAGTCATGAAATCTGACATGTGCACAGGCAATACTGCATAAATACATGTCATTCTGAATGTAATTGGCCACACATTGTTGTATTGATGATGTGGGAGCTTAGCATCTAGACGCTTGGGTGAGTGTCTAGGGTTCAAATTCTTCAAAATGAACCTAGGCTGCCAGGTCTGCCCATCCGGAAGTGGGGGAAATCTCTTGGAAAGTAAAGTCGGCTGGTGTTATGTTGACTGCATCCAACTCCTGAGTGTTGATCCGTCTAAAAATGTATATAGGTCAAGCACTGAATGCCTGATACTCGAAAGATACAAACAATGCCCTTGACTTACTTTTACTTACTTGTTGCTGATATAGAGATCTTTCTGTGCACAAGACACATAATATGTAATGTATATTAATAAGAACTCCACAGCCTGAGCATGCACAGAAGGAATCTGCCGAACCTCAGTAGGTGTCCCCCTTTGGACAGTTGTTTCAGCCCATTATCCTACTAGAGGATATCAGGGGGTGGGCCGACCTGGGTCATGACTTCTAGGCCTCGGACTATCTCACAATCTCAGGGGGCGTGCTGACCTGGGTCATGACTCCTAGACCTCTATCTCACAATCTCAGGGGGCTAGCCGACCTGGGTCATGACTTCCAGGCCTCGGACAATCTCAGGGGGGCGGGCTGACCTGTGTCTTGACTCCCAGGCCTCGGACTATCTCACAATCTCAGGGAGGCCGGCTGACCTGGGTCGTGACTCCCAGGCCTCGGGCTATCTCCTGCTGCGCTTTGTCAGACATTCGGACAAGACATGATGGTGATTTGTAACAGGTGTTGAGGTTGTGGTGATATGTATTGTCACTGTGGTAGTTCATAATAAACTAAATAAATCACATAGAAGAAAGGTTGCGGGCACATTGTTTTGGTTTACACCTAGCTTCAGTGTACACTCAGGAGTCTTACAGTGTGTGCACTCATGGAATGCTTCAGTTTGTATGCTGTTACAATGTGTACAGTCAAGGAATTGTCAGCATGTATGTACACTTATACAGTGTGTACACTCAAGGAATACACAATTGTGTACACTAAGGGGATCTCACAATGTGTACACTAAGTGGGATCTGGCAATGTTTACATTTGTATGAATATAGATGCAGAAGGAATATTTGAATTTGCACACTCAGTGGAAATTTGAATTTGCTCACTCAGCAAATATTTTAATTTGCTCACTCAGGGAATATTTGAAACTCCACACTCAGGAATTTTTTTTTTTTTTTTAGGACACAATATTTGAATTTGCACACTCATGAAATATTTAAATAAACACACTCAGTTGAATATTGGCATATACACACTCAGGGAATATTTGAATTTGTGCATTCAGTCAATATTCAAATTTACATACTCAGGGAATATTTTAATATGCACACTTAGAGAGTATTTGAATATGTAGACTAGGGAAGTTTTTGTAGGCGCTCATACAGTTTTTTTCCAGCACCCAAGGATTATTGAAGTGTCGTTTTCTCCCCCACAGTACAAAGAAGGCAGGAAGTCATCAAGTTCGTTTCACAAGTCCCATCAGGACTCCCAAGGTTACTCAGCTGCGACGCCGGGGATCTTTAACCTCTTTAACCAGCAACTCCAGCGGCAGCACATTTGCCAGTGTGGAATCTGGGGTCTAGTGGTCTGTTTTTTGCATGAATGCGTTGTACGGTCATGTGTGATTGTCACATTTTCAGAATTTTTACTTTTGTAAAGATTGAAAGATTTGGAGTGCAATGGAGGAATAGACTGGGAGCCCAATGTGACATACACATGTGTATGATGGTTTGAGAGGATGATGATGATGATCAGGATGAAAAATGTAAACCTTTAATGATTAAGACTTAACACCAACAGACTGGCAGTCATATTTTGTCATTGTCATAAACTTGTCCTTGCACTGTCAGAGTCATAATAACTCTTATTTGCTGTCCTAAATATGTCATTGCTGTCTTAGAGTTGTCTTCAGAGTCACAGTAAGTGCTGTCCTAGATATATCTTCACTGTCATAGAACTGTCCTTTCAGTTTCATTCATAGTAAGTGCTGTCTGGGATATATCTTTACTGTCATAGAGCTTTTGTTACAGTGTTAGATCCATAGCAAACGCTGAGGTATAGCCTCACTATCATAGGTTTGTACTTGCAGTTTTATAGTAACACCCTGTCTGAGATATATCATCAGTGTCATAAATGTGTCCTTGCACTTTTAGTTATAGTAACAGGCTGTCTGAGATATATCATCAGTGTCCTAGATGTGCCCCTGCACTTTTAGTTATAGTAACACCCTGTCTGAGATATATCATCAGTGTCATAGATGTGTCCTTGCACTTTTAGTTATAGTAACACCCTGTCTGAGATATATCATCAGTGTCCTAGATGTGTCCTTGCACTTTTAGTTATATTAACAGGCTGTCTGAGATATATCATCAGTGTCATAGATGTGTCCTTGCACTTTTAGTTATATTAACACCCTGTCTGAGATATATCATCAGTGTCATAGATGTGTCCCTGCACTTTTAGTTATAGTAACACCCTGTCTGAGATATATCATCAGTGTCATAGATGTGTCCCTGCACTTTTAGTTATATTAACAGGCTGTCTGAGATATATCATCAGTGTCCTAGATGTGTCCTTGCACTTTTAGTTATATTAACACCCTGTCTGAGATATATCATCAGTGTCATAGATGTGTCCTTGCACTTTTAGTTATATTAACAGGCTGTCTGAGATATATCATCAGTGTCATAGATGTGTCCTTGCACTTTTAGTTATATTAACAGGCTGTCTGAGATATATCATCAGTGTCATAGATGTGTCCTTGCACTTTTAGTTATATTAACAGGCTGTCTGAGATATATCATCAGTGTCATAGATGTGTCCTTGCACTTTTAGTTATAGTAACAGGCTGTCTGAGATATATCATCAGTGTCATAGATGTGTCCTTGCACTTTTAGTTATATTAACACCCTGTCTGAGATATATCATCAGTGTCATAGATGTGTCCTTGCACTTTTAGTTTTAGTAACACCCTGTCTGAGATATATCATCAGTGTCATAGATGTGTCCTTGCACTTTTAGTTATAGTAACACCCTGTCTGAGATATATCATCAGTGTCATAGATGTGTCCTTGCACTTTTAGTTATATTAACACCCTGTCTGAGATATATCATCAGTGTCATAGATGTGTCCCTGCACTTTTAGTTATAGTAACACCCTGTCTGAGATATATCATCAGTGTCATAGATGTGTCCTTGCACTTTTAGTTATATTAACACCCTGTCTGAGATATATCATCAGTGTCATAGATGTGTCCTTGCACTTTTAGTTATATTAACACCCTGTCTGAGATATATCATCAGTGTCATAGAGTTACACACACACACACACACACACACCCCCCCCCCCCCTCTTTTTTTCTGTCTGTCTGTCTGACTGACAACAATATACAGTAATGTGTGAGAGCATGGGCAGTTCACTTGTAGTAGCAAATGACATTGCACAATGCAATGACTGAAACAAGTGCCTACAGTGAGCGAAATAATTTATCCTGTGATCTCATAGTAAAAGTGTATTTTCGTTGCGTACTATTCAATGAGAAAAGCTTGACCATGTTGTGACAGATGGGCAGAATTATGGGCTGAAAGTTAAAGTAAGACAATAAGAAAAGATACTTAACAGCCCATTTTCATGAAATGGAGAGATGTCAGCTCACAAACTGATACATACTTTTGGATGCCGGAAGATACTGAAAAACATGCTGATGTCATTCAGCAAGACATTGGATGATGAATGTTCTGTTGTACATTAGTCTTAATTGTATATGTTTTCATTTACATTTTATTCGTCTGTGAAGCAACCACGTGTGGGAATGAAGAGTGTATGTTTTTTCAAATAGCTTATGAATATGTTGTTGGATCTGTAGCGACCAGTGCAGCTGTTTTTATCTTTAGACTGGTGCTCAAGTGTCAGATATTATCATTAATCATAATGTTCCAAGTGCAGCTGTTGTGGAGGGTACTTAAGAGTCACATTATCATTAATCATCTTGTTCCAAGAAATTACATTATTTGACAATAGTGGGTTGTGTTTGTCTTTACTGGCCTTTTTGTTTGGCTCACCTAGGTTGTTTCTGGTGCTACAGTGTTCATGTGTTGTGCTGTGATTGCTGATGTATACTGTCTTTACTGCCTGTATTTACTACTTTTATGGCTGTCTTGGACAAGGTGGTCATGGGATGGAGGATTTATCAAAAAAAGATATCAAACCAGATGAAAAGTAGAACCAGCCGGCTCGACACTTTCACAGACACAAGTGAATGTTGCCATTGTAGAGAACCTTTATCAGATCACATAACATAACCCTTGGCCCGTTAAGGCCGTGGAGGTACATTGATGGAAGCATGTCAAACCTGCTATCATTCTCTGTCTTCTGCTTGATAAGTTAGTGTGAGATAACTTAGTCCTGTCCATTTCTTGATGTTGTCTTTCTACGTTCTTTTTTTCCCTCCTCTTCTTCGACTACCCACCAATGTTGAACATGAACATACAATACCACAAACACAAAGAACTATACACAAAATCACCTAACTGAAGTGGCTTCAAGAGGAATCACATCTCTGCCTGACCAGTTGAATCTCTGACACATATGTGACCACTGGAAATGAATACTGGATAAAGAGGATACTGAAATAAAGAGTATGTAAAGTAACAGCTGAGGCAGAGTAAGTTGATGTCATTACTTCTGCTACTTCTTCTTCTTGGCATTCACTGGCTGTAAACACTGATGGAAAGTTCTGGGTGTTCATCCATTTCTGGAGCAATATATAGATGGATTTTTTTCTGCATTGTATAAACAATTTCAGCAAATTATAGATGGATAATTTCAACAATATATGGATGAATTGGTGCAGCAATATATAGACAGACAGATTATTTCAGCAATATACAGTTGGATCATTGATGAGTGACAACTATAGGAAACATTTGAACTATTTTGACTAAATAGTTCAAAAGATTGTTTCAGCAAAGTATATTCGAAAGATTGTTTCAGCAAAGTATACGTGTTTGGTTGTATACAAATTTAGTTGTATAACAATTGACAATTTATTTGTGTGACCTCAGACAGAATCACAAAACTACCGCAAGCAAATGCTCATCTAGTGCCACCGCAACACACAGCTGCTCTGTGACCTGAGGACCAAGTCTTAAAAGTATCTTAATTAATGAACTCATTTGGAAGAGTTAAATTTTCCAGTTTTGTGACCCTATAGTGGAATCACCATGTGACCAAGCCTAGAAAGTATCCACTTAGTGAATTCATTCAGGATGGTTGACTTTTGTTTGTGTGACACCGTAGTGGAAGTACCATGCAACCAAGCCTAGAAAGTATCCACTACTTAGTGAATTCATTTGGGAGGGTTGACTTTTGTGATTATGTGACCTGATTAACGAACCACCATGAGACCAAATAGCGGCGTCCGTGGCTAAGGCGTTGCGAGTCTGACTCGTAATCCAACGTACCGCAAACGAAACCCACGGCGGGCTGCGTGGATTTTTATCGTATGGGACGTTGCAGGTCGACCCAGCCTCAAATGGGTACCAGGATGGGCTGTCCTAGGAAAGTAAAGACAGCCGCGTAATGCTGACCACATTACCCACCGAGTGCCGATTGGTCTGTAAAAATATGCCCGATGCGCCTAAGGGGGTGTAAAGGGATCTTTACTTTATTTTTTTGCTTATGAGACCAAATATAGTAAGTGTTCAGTTAGTGGATTTCCCAAACTTGGAAGGGTCAATTCTTATGCTTATGTGACAGGGAGAGTTGATTCACAATCACAGAATAACTAAAATGTTTGATTCTCTTGGAGAAGTCTAGTATCCAAGAAAAGTGGCTGGATACACACATCCAGTTTTCTCCTCAAGACTCACTTCAACACATCTCTTGAGAGGGAATAAGGACAGGGCAAAACAGACTGAGGCAACATATGTTCAAATTGTCAGTGTAGCAAACACGGAGACGTGTCCCTGCAGTTAGGCAACAGAAAATGCTGAGCATGTGCTCCAACACTGTCAACTGTATGCTGACAACAGAAATGCAATCTGGCCTGTTTCATACACAATAAATTCAAAGCTTGATGGTGCACAAGAGAATATGGACATCGCGATAGCTTTCATGAAGGCTACTGGCCTCCTGATAAGTTTTCTAACAGAAGGATCGAAGAATAAGAGTTGAGTTGAGTCAAGAATTGACATCACAGCACTCGGGGCATTCCCATGTATGCTCTGTCCTCATCTTCAGCAGCTAGCGCAGAGTTCCAATACTGATGGTACCGGTCACAATCTGGTTATATGTCCATCTTGCCTTTCTTCTGAGTAGTGAGCCGGCCAGACCCTCTCATTACACCCAGGTGCCTCATTCTCTCCAGACCATAATAATCTTGTTTCTTTACTAATTCCATTGCTTGTTCCCAAAGGGCCTTGACCACATCTGCCTTGTCATGTATTAATTCACCACCCACTGGTTCAGATCCAGCCAATCTGTCTGCCTGTTCATTGCCCACTACGCCGGCATGGCCTGGAGAAAAGATCCAAAGTATGCTCACTACCCGTGACCTTCCCAGTGAAGCTTGCCACTCTGCTC